TATATATATATATATATATATATATAAAATGTGTGTGTGTGTGTATATGTATGTTTTATTTTGTAACATAGCTTTCAAATGTAGTAACATGTGATAGGATGTGCTATTGGTTATTGTCAAATTAAATGCTTAAATGCCAACCTTATTGCCACCTTTGTTCATACTGGGGACATTTTTTCTCACTTCCTGTGCAGGTACCCTTTGTTACGAAGTTGGGAGAAATGTCACAATTGTGAACACAAACAGCAGCGGAAACTTGATAGTGGTTATAACCTGCCTCACTAAACTTAATTTTGCCAAGACATGCATCTTAAAGTGTATTTCCACTTTTGCACTTTTCCACTTACCTTAGCTGTTTGTTTGGAGCGGAATTATACATAGTCACAATGTGATTACTTTTAATATTGAACACAGAAAAGGGAAGTGTACTGGAAGGACTAGAACCCTAAACTTCAGAAGGGCCAACTTTGAGAAGCTGCGCAACCTAGTGGGGGAAATAAAATGGGAAAACTTATTTCAAAACCTAAACACAGACCAGATGTGGGATTGTTTTAAAAACACAGTACATACTGCTACTTCAAAGTGTATACCTTTAGGGAGCAAAAATAAAAGATCAAAGACTAAACCAATATGGTTTAATAAAACTGTAAAACAACACGTCAAGGACAAGAGAGACTGCCACAGGCGGTGATTTCAGCAAATAATGTGGAATTGTTCAAGAAACTTTTGGACGATTTCTTAAGGGACCGTAATATACAGGGGTACAGGTAATATACAGGGGTACAGGTAACATACAGGGGTACAGGTACTCCTAGAATGAGATCCTAATAGGTTGGACTTGATGGACTAATGTCTTTATTCAACCTCAAATACTATGTAACTATGTAACATAGGACTACAGTAGGCTTCTAGTGGTAAGAATAGATGACTATAAGCTGATAAGGGACTGACTGAGATTTTTTTTTTTTTAAGTTTAATCACATACAATGGAGGGGAATTTGTCAAAACTGGAGCAGACAAAATCGGGAGTAGAGATTCTGTTGTGAAAGGGGGGCTCTGATGTGAAGGGAGAAACCCTCTTTTTTTCTGTTTTTTTTTCCCTGTGTTTTTTCCTTAAAATCTATACCAGACCCCTATCTGAAATAAGGGACTGGTATGGATTTTGGAGGGGCCACACATTGCTTTGTTTACATTTTCACATAAAAGTTTGTTACATTTACTGGGGTGCCTTGAGATTTTGTATACTTTTAAAGGGTGCCGTAAAGGTTGAGTAACGCTGTTGTAGGCAGTTAAACCAAATATATTACTGTTTGGATGTAGTTGGTAAAACGTATACCGCTTTATTTTTATTGTTATAATTTGCCTTTTTGTGTTGAAATACATATGTGTGTTTTTGCTCTGTTCTGATACAGGAATATTTGGATTCTTAGCCTTTGGTTTTGTACTCATCACCTTCAGCTGTCATTTCTATGACTTCTTCAACCAGGCAGAGTGGGAGAGAAGTTTCCGTGAATATGTCCTGTGAGTATTACCAGTAATGCAATATTGTACTTCATAGACTGGTAGTTCTGCAATTGCAACATTTACCAGAAGATCTTATCTATTTAAAATGGTTTGCCAAGAATTATGTATCCACATCTTTTTAATACTAGTAAATAAAACTGTATTCCTGACTACAGTTTAAATCTGCTTTGCTCATTGATATGTTTTATGTTCCATTTTCTTCCTCTAAAACCTATTCTCATCAGAAGTAAGGATGGGATGCAGGGTCAGCTGTCCAGGGTGCAGACAAGACAGGGGACATAATGGCCAAGCTGAAAAAGGATTATGTGGCTGACATAAATTAAACAGTTATATTTTTCTTTTAAAATATTCAGAAGGAGCAAAAGTGATTGCAAGTTGATGAGGACTGAAATGTTTTAGAGAGAGTGTATAAATGAGGCAAAGTTACAATTCTGGTGGTTATTATTATGACATACAATTATTATTTAGGTCAGTTTCATTAAAATGGACACTCGTTTTTAGGCCAATCCTTGTTGTATCCATCATAAAATATAACTACTAAAGTGCATGAAAACACTTCAGCAGCAACATAGTGGACCTTTTACTATTTTTTTTTTTACTAGGTTTTAGCACTGAGAACCCCTGGTTGGTAGTATTTAATACTAGGTTTATAGCACCAAAAAGTGAAAATAAAACCCACCCTCCTACATGCCCTGACCTCTAACATTCTCCTAATCCTTAAGCTAACCCTAACTCTTTAACTCAGCCTCCCTCGTGCTTCCTGGTGCTAAATCTAGAATAAGCTCCAAAAATTAACCTCCCACCTACTACTAATACTAAACCCTGAATGCCTGAAATTTAACAACATTTGAAGAAGACCTCTACAGTGGATAACGATGTCCACTCTCTCTCTCTAAATGGAGGCAACCATCATGGTTAAAGAAAAGGGCCATGTTTCCTCTTATAAGAGGAAATCCCTTTTAAGGATTGGTGGGTAATGATCAAGAAGTAGAGTAGAGACATAACCAATTTTCATTCCAAAACCTAGAGGCAGCAGTGCCTTAGATGACCTCACATTGAAGATATACATCTAATGGACTACAGGACAGGAGCCCTTAGGCACAGTCAATTGTCAGGAAGTATACTGCTATTTTCAGGAGGAATTCAAGCAAAAGGAAAAATTGTAGGGTATTGCTTAGACAAAATTAACATTTCTATATATTCCCTGTGAGATGGTAGCAAATCTTCACTTCTTGCATATGAGTTCACTTTAACTTTATCCTTAGAGGTAATTCATAACCTCAACACCTAGCCCTTACCTGTAAACTTAATCCAATGCTAAAAACCCTAAAACCTTAACCCTTAACCTAACCACTAACCATCACGTTCTATCTTTCGGTACATAATATAGAGTCTTGCAGAGGGTTAGGTAGCCACGGGTTAAACACATTTTAGGCTGGATAGGGAAAATTGGTCTGATGGCTGGTTGAGTACAGTATTACTTCAAGCTGGGCTCGGGATCAGGGCTTGGTTTCTGCATACTTATGTACAATAGGCTTGTTATGTGCTTCCGTGTCAGTCTCTTGTAACATTCTAACAGTCACTAACATCGTAATTTAGCATAGATGCATACAGCAGTAAAAGAAGGCATTGAATAGTGTTGTTGGTACAAACTCACCAGGTCAGGTTTCTTTTACAAGTTTAAATGTTGGCTGTGGGTAGGGTGGTGTATGTACTATATATTTGAAGAATCCATCTGGGAAGTGTAACACCATTGTTAAGCTTTGCAATGAATACAGGAGTTGGGCAAAACTAGGAAGTCAGGTGGAAAGATTGCGCAAGAACAAAAAAGTACAAGCCGCACCACCACTGCTTACTAACTTAAATACAACTTTATTGGTCAGAGAGCAACAGCATCCTACTGGACACAAACTTCTCTGCTGATGCGTTTCGCCCTAGTATAGGGCATTATACTATCTTTGGAAATCACACCACTGGAATTCCAGAGAGATAGAAGAACTGGCATGTGATTAAACTATCCGTTTTGGGGGGTCTTTACCTTCTAGGTTCTAAATTTATGTACTTTTCACTTTTACTGTCATTAAGGTGCGAGGCCAACGTGACTATTGCTGCTCAAACAAATAAGCCCATTCCTGAGTGTGAAATAAAGAACAGGCCCAGTCTTCTGGTAGAAAAGATTAACCTCTTTGCCATGTTTGGCACTGGCATAGCCATGAGCACATGGGTGTGGACCAAAGCAACCATTATCATCTGGAAGAGAGCCTGGTGCAGGTAAGCCAAGAGCAATCGTCATATAAAGTCAAAAATAGAAATCCTTACAGCAGCATTGGTCTTGTTTATCAATGTGGCTTTGATTATGAACAGTATTTGTTGTCTCACAGTAAATAATCAGATGGAAAACCGCAGTTCACACAATATAATACCCAATTTGTTTTGTAAAATATAAAAAATGGGGTTGCATCGGGTAAATAGATACCAAATAATTCAAACCTTAAAATTGTGCATTCCTGTGAAATGGCAAAAATCTACTGTACCCAAAACTGTCCATAGGCGATGCTTTAAAAGCCTCACCGTTCAGGAACTTAGAGTTAACGGCGAGTGATGGTCCTAGAATTATTACTCTCACTGAGAGAGAGACACAGAGAGAGAGAGAGAGAGAATGGATATATATATATATATATATATATATGTGTGTGTGTATATATACACACAATACTGCTATCACAGAGGGGGCGAAGAAGCCCCTCTGTGATAGCACAGAGAAAGTTACAGGTCCTCTTTATAGAGACACCAGGGCTCTTTTAGACCTCTAATGTCACCTATGGATCCCATAGAAGCGAATGAAGCACACACTCTGAAGCTGCAGACAAGTGATCCGGCAGCTCTACAGCCACCTAATTACTTAATTACTTGCTTGTGAAAGCCAGTCAGTACTGGACATTTATATACGTACAGTACATCAGTACCCACGTCATAGCCCACTCATCTGCTGGGAGTGTCTAATTACACTTCACATCTGTGCTGGTCCAGCTCCTCCACCCCTCCCCTCCCTATCTAACCTTTTTATTTAGCTGCTAGAGTAGGAGTGAAGAGGATTAATATAGCATGTCACTTGATTGACAGCTCTTTAGTTTACTGGGGCTGTTGACCTCACATCTAAAGGGTTTTGGGTGTTTTCCAAACTGAGGTTTCTACAGCTAAATAACATGCATAAACTGTGTTAATTTTTTTTTTTTTTATCAGATTTTTTTTGTATTTTTGCACTTTTTTAAAACTGTGTTAATTTATTTTTTTTAATCAGATTTTTTTTTGTATTTTTGCACTTTTTTAAAACTGTGTTAATTGTACATATAATTTTATGTGAAGCTTGTTGTTGAAATGAATAGTCTGACAACAGGGTCTCTTTATATACACATCAGTACACTGTATTTATACACTACATCGCTAAATGGTTGTGGATACTTGATAATGACATCTATATGAGCTTGTTAAACTTTCCATTCTCTAATCATGTGTATTTATATGGAGTTGCCCCCTTTCCCTTTTGTGGCTGTCTGGGAAGGCTTTCCACAAGATTTTCAAGTGTGTCCAATTAATTCCATAGGTGTTCAGTAGGGTTGAGCTCAGGGCTCTGTGCAGGCCACTTGAGTTCTTCCACACAAAACGTCTCTGTGTCTTCATGGACCAGCCTTTGTGCACAGGGGTACACTCTTGCTGGAACAGAAAAGTACCTTCCCTAAACTGTTGCTCAAAGTTTGGACATGCACAATTGTCTAAAATGCCTTTGTAGGCTGTAACATTAACATTCCTCTTTACTTGAAATGCCTAAACTCATAATTTTAAGGGCTGTCAACATTTAATACTTGTAATAGTCAGGTGTCCACAAACCTTTGCCCATATAGTATACCTCCTCTGCATATATGTATGTATGAGGACTACCCATATTTTAGTCCTACTTACCTGTTCACTGCACGTTAGCTGAGAGTAATTTCCTCTAATCATGGGAATTGGATAAGGGAATGATCTAGTGTTGGATGGATCTATGCTGATTCTATCCTGAATCTAATAGATGCTTTGTTGTCCAGGATCAGTAAACGCAGCTGAAAGCAGTATGATTTGTCCAATTTCCACCAAATGATGTATCCAAAAACAAAAAAGCAGACAGGCGGAAGTAGCTCTTTTATTAACAGGTCTATTACTGTGTGTTGGCAGAAGTTCTCCTCTCATTGATTATATTGGCTTTTTTTTGCATATTACTACACTGTGATTTCATCAGTATTTTATTTTATAACAGAATTTTAGGTCGCAGTGATGATGAACCAAAGAGAATCAAGAAAAGTAAAATGATTGCAAAGGCATTTTCGAAGAGGAAGGAGTTGCTTAATAACCCTGAAAGGGAACTGTCCTTCAGTCTTCATACAGTGTCCCACGAAGGACCAGTTGGTATGTATAAATACGTTTTACTGTGGCCAGTGTTTAAGAAAAGCATGCATAGGAACAATATAATAAGTCCTCAACTTTTGGTCACCGCATGGCATTCCCCTGTTCTACCAAATTAACTAGAAAAATTGACTGGCATATTGGAAAAACATTGAAGGGCGGAAAAGAACAAAAGCTCACCAAAAAAACCCCACTCAGCTATCTAACCCTTTTATAAAGGACCCTTAAAAGGTATACTTAAATGCTATTTGTGTAAGTATTTGTTTTCTTTTTCTTGATATTACCCTCCCATAATGCTGTGCTGCAACACCTAGACTGTGGGTGCAGAAAATGTGGATCAGTTGCATGCTAAAAGGAGGAGGGAACAGATGGAACAGAGGGAGGAGCTCATCAGTGTACTGCTTCTGCATCAATGTCCATTAAGCAGGCTGCAGGAGTGTTAATAAACCAATTGTGCTGCTGCCGTGGAGCTGAAGGAGCTGACTATGTTAAGTGGCCGGGGTGCCTGGATTAAAAGATTGGCTGAACACAATTATAAAAACTTTGGCAGCTAACACAGTTCCCATATATGTTTTTCAACATGTATTTTACCAATTGTCTGGAATTCAGCTTTAATCTGATTCCTAATAATAAATAAAGACAGACTATTTAAACATTTTCTTCAGAACTGTATGTAAAATATAAATTGTCATCGTTCTGCCAGGATATGTTGGCAAGATAATCCTAAAATAAATTTAATGTACTTTATGTATATATTTCAGAGTGTATGCTCTTGAAATAGTAGAAATATTAGTAATAATAATATGTCTTATCATCTATTGCACATAAGTAAAAAAATGAGGTGGGGTGTGCAAGATATATTTTTCAGCAGTCTTTGGACATTTTTCAATTCTTCCTAAAAAAAATTTAAATAATGTTAATAATGTCTATGGGCGAAGTTACTATGTCCATTTCCTTTATTCCTCAGCGGGTCTTAACTTTGATATTAATGAGCCATCAGCTGACATGTCGTCGGCATGGGCACAGCATGTCACAAAGATGGTTGCCAGGAGAGGAGCCATTTTACCTCAAGATGTTTCTGTGACTCCCGTGGCAACTCCAGGTAAGCACAATGGTTTGTCTTTTAAAGGTAAACAGTAGGTCTGTTAAATGATACTATTTTGTATACACAGGGATTATCATTAAGTATTTTATGCTTATTTTATGCTTCTTTGTTATGATTACAGCTGATACTATTGGTCAAATGTACAAATGCTAGGGATTCACTGAATTAATGGCGACTGAAACGTTTTGGCCGAAAATGGTACTGTCAGCAAAATGCCAATACAAAAAAAATAGTGCCTTTAATACGGTGCCTTCCCTGCCTGCCCACAGCAGGAGCTTTCACTGCTCTGCAGCCACCTCCTTCCTGCCCAGCTGCTGTGTTCAAACAGATGTAAACAGCAGGCAGTGGGCGGGAGCAATAGCCAATAGAAGGCTGACTATTGCACCCGCCCACTGCCTGCTGACCATGAATTTAGTTCTCTAACAGGCTCTGCCACTGCCGGCGTAACTGCAGTTGGCAGAGGCTAGTCAAGCATTTTCCGTTTCAGTATCGGCTGGTGAAATTTTAAAATTTTGGTTTTGGCTACGAATTATAATTTTGGTGCATCCATTAAAAATACAGTAACCCATAGCCCCTTATCAGACTTAAGGTGCCCATACACTGTACGATTATCGTACGAGAATCGCGGGAAATCCCGCAATCGTACGATAATCGCAAAGTGTATGGAAGACGTGCGACCGTTTCTACTGTACGGTCGCACGTCTTCCGTCGAACAAGCAGGCTTGAAACCCCGCCGAGAATCGTACGATTCTCGGTGGGTTAGTGGCCTGCTTGTTCGACAACTGCCGAACGGGCTGGTGTGCGCACGCGAACACTGCCCGTTTGCAGTCATTGGAAGCCCGCCCCTCATTGCAGTCATCGCAAGCCCGCCCCTCTGCCTGTCCATGATGGGCAGATCGTACGAGCTTTTAATTAGCTTATAACCATCGCAAGAGAAAAGTCTTGCGATGGTTGTAAGTTGTATGGGCACCTTTAGGGCTTGTTCAGACAGTGCCCGTTGAGTTGCGTTTTGTATGGCTTGAACAGGTACATAGAAAATAATTGTTTTCTGTGTGCCTTGTTCACACCATAAATGTGCAGTGCTGTGCAGAAAAACATAACTCCATGGACATGGAGTTAGGAAGTCATTAATCTTTAACTTATCTATCTTGGACAAACAGTAATCTAATTAGTTACTGAGGGTTACTATAGTCTACATCAGGCCTCAAAATTTCCACTCGCCCCCTTGCAGTTGGCGAGTGAAAATTGCGTTGGGGCGAGTGGAAACTCATCGAGGAGCGCCGCCGGCGGGACCAGAGATGGGACACTACCGCCGCGGCGATTGCTTACTTCTGTTCTCTCTTCTCATCTGCCGCTGCAGCTACAGAGCGGCCGACAAGGAGAAGAGAGGACACAAGCGAACGATCGCCGTGGCGGTAGTGTCCCATCTCTGGTCCCGCCGGCGGCGCTCCTCGATGACATCCGCTGTCTTCTGCAGCTTCCTCCGCCCACCTCAGCTGCCAGGCTGGGAGGAAGATTGCAGAGACAGTGAGACCGGCCAGCCAGAAAGTTATGCAGCAGGGGGAAAAGAGTATACATGGACGATCTCTGCACCGCCCCCCCACCACCACCAGGAGAGAGAAGAGGCACCTGAATACCAGCTAAGTGCACTGTAAGTCCCTTTTCTTTCTTCCTTACACTGTGCGTCACACTGACCCTGCACTGTGCGTCACACTGACCTCCATGCTGTGCATCACTGACCTCTGCGTGGCGTGCGTCACTCTGACCTCTGCGCGGTGTCCGTCACTCTGATCTCTGCGCGGTGTCCGTCACTCTGACCTCTGCACTGTGCGTCACTCTGAGCCTGCACAGTGCGTCACTCTGACCTCTGCGCTGTGCGTCACTCTGACTTCTGCGCTGTGCGTCACTTTGACCTCTGCGCTGTGCGTTACGCTGACCTCTGCTCTGTGCGTCACCCTGACCTCTGCGCTGTGCGTCACATTACTGACCTGGCGGAGTTAAGTCCGGGGCAGAGTAGGGGTTAGGTGGGGCAACTGTTGGCGAGTAACTTTTAGGCCTGGCTAGTAGTTCAGGACTTGAAATGTTGAGCCCTGGTCTACATGTTCAAGGGAATTCACAAAGACTGATGCTAAGTTTTAACAAGAACGTTTGTTATATTTTTGACAAGTGAAGTAAATAGCCACAGATTCACATCCATGAGAATCCGTCTGAAACTGAAAGAACTGCTGCAACTAGTCAATGATAAAATTAAAATCTCTACTAGTAAAATAATCTTTTTCCATAAAAGGTTTATCATTTCTATTGTCAGGAGATATTTAATTATTGATCATAAAAAACAATTCATAAAAAGGAGAATATTAATAAACTTGTTTTCATAATATGTGTTGGAAACAAATTTCATATAAATGAAGCATTAATAAAAGCCAACCTGTACATTGTTATCTTTCAAATGTTCCACTCTCACTTTATGACTATATTTAAGGGCATCTATGGTCAAAAACTAAATATGTGTTTGTATATTAATTTTATATTAATTTTCCATTAATTTTCCATAAGTTCTATCCCACTCCTAATAACCATATCAATCTAAAACTTTATAAACTTACTTATTGAAGATATCTATAGGATCTACTTCCTCAATGCACTGACACAATTTCACTCAGCCCTGTGAGTATGCACCTCCTGGTGTCACCACCCTAACTAAGCCTGCCGTATGAACTACAACTCAACTCCTGAACTTCCCACAATGAACCCTCATCATTGCTTGCTGGAAGCAATGCATGATGGGATATGGTGTCTTCAGAAATTAGGATAGCAAATAAAGAGATACAAAGCACACTGGGGATCCAGGAAGTTGATGAAAGTGATGGGCAGACGGAAAGCAACACTCACTACATAAAAGGGATTTTTTTCAAGTAAGCTTTGATTGCATTATCAAAAACAACTCTAATATGTATTCCTATTACAATCATGTTATAACAGGATAGTATATGCTGTGACCTATAAACTCCTTTAAGCTAACTCTATGTTATCAGACTCCAGTTTCCAAATAAGGAAAGTGTCTTAACAGCTTTGTGAATCTGACTTTCAGCTGTCACTGATAAAAAGAACAGATGCTAATTGTGAATGATAATAACAGGTGCTAATAAGAACTTCGTACATTTGGTTTGTGTGGTGCAAGAAAACAACAACAACAAAACAAGTAATAATTAGGTGGATAGATAAAATGTAGCTGAATAACTCCAAATTTCTGGAATGAATGCGATTGTGAATTTTTCTGATCATCCTTTATTTGCTCCGCTTGTCATAGATATAAGAAACAATTCTTGTTGAAACTTAGCACCAGTCTTTGGGAATTGCCCTGTGTGAATTTAACCTTATGTGTTAGTATCTAGTTGTTAGACCACCATCACTGTTATTATTGTGCAGAGGTACATTGCTATTCATTTTTGTTGGTATGTTATGTGTGGTTTTTATGTATCTTTTTCCTGCAGTGCCTCCTGAAGAGAGAGAAAATGTATGGCTGGTAGAGGCAGATAATCATTATGGACTGGAGAAGAAAACTAAGAAGAAGAAAAGGAGAAGGAAGAAAGAGATCAGATTAGTGGATGAAAGAAAAGGCATTGAAAACTATAATGCAAGGGCTTCAACAGCAGTACCTCGTCTCCCAAAGCTTCCTGTTAAGCCCAACCTTGTGACCAGGGCAGTGGAACCCCAGGAATTTGAACAGGCCCTTCCAGGATCCTACAGAGAATATAGGAGATGGCCTCCTATTACTGGAGGATTATACCACATGGATAATATGGATGACCACCTTGGATACAAAAAATACACTCATACCAATTGTATTTCTCACCCTTACTCCACTGATGAGCTTCCTATAGCTCAACAGAGTGGAGTTCAATTTATCCCTCATCCAAGGCGTGATGGCATATTCCAGTACTCAAATGGGAATCTCCCGTCATATGCCACAAGACACGGTCCCTGCAATGACAGGACTCAAACTAGAAGAGCAGAGATTCCCCCCATGCATTCCAGAGCAAACCTTATGGATGCTGAACTCATGGACACAGATTCAGATTTCTAGCCCTACAGCAGGCACTTGAAGAACTTTTTAAGTTAATTTAGAATGCAATTAACAGACGCAATCCAAGTCTTCTGGACCCTCTATGTATTAAGAAAGGTTCCTAAAATGGAGACCTATACAGAGGTCTGGAATCTGGGTGAATGCATATATGTGGAGGAGGATGTAATTTAATTGGAATTGTCTCTAAAAATGACACCATCAGATGGATGGAAACTGACACAAAAGCAGCTTAATTTAACGTTTGTTCACAATGATGCAACTATGCAATGCAGAGTTCCCACATTAGGTTTTCCTTTGCCTAATTTGATGGAAGGTATTCTGCTGGCTATGCATTGTGTAACTGGCAACTAATTGGTGATCTCTGTGAAGATGGCGTACAGAAAAAGGAGTCTACACCTGGGCTAAGTTAAGTTTTGTGTCTGATCAGCTGTCTATAGGTACTATTTAGAAAGCTAACACACAGTACTTATATAAATCTTTAGCAGTGTGCCTTACATATCTGACCATTGAAGCTGGATTTCATGTTTTTAATTTTAAACTTGCGTCATGTGTGAAATGATCAACCTAATCAGGACCTGATCTTTGAATTTGTGTTTAGTCATATGCATTTCAGAACTCATTTAGACATGACATCAACAATACTGTTGGAACTTTTACTTGTCTTCAGACCATACTGCATAATATTTTAAATATTCTGTATTGTACAAATTTACATACCTACGGTACAACAAACAGAACAATTACATTATGTGGAAAACTGCAGGATTGGGGGTCTTTTTCACTGTATGGCTTAATATTTTGATGGTCAAGAAATATATCATTTCTTTTAATTTATAAACCATTCACTGAAGGTGAATTAATCACTGTCATTTCAAACACCTGCACAAGAAAAGGTCACCTGCAGTGAGTGAGTGGTGAATGTCACATTCACTGCTTCATTAATACCCCTAAAACGGTGGCACCCAGATCCGTACCTCTGTTGTGGTCCAGGTTTTAATAGAATTTCTCAAAAATCTGTCTTTATTACTAGACTTTTATTTTATCTAAATTACTGATATTCTCTGTAAATAAATTACACATAAACTGTCAGAATGATTTAGGGATCTGAATTTACAGGGAAAGTGCTAGTCACATTTCCCTACACAATGAAAGCACCCTGACAGTAAAGCTGGTTTTTACACTCATTATACTGATGGATTTTTGTATCGGTCACCATGCAGATTTGCAAAAGACACATGTACAAGGATCCTCAGTTGCAGCAAGCACTCATTACATGAGTGTCTGTTCAGACATAGGTTGAGCATGCTGTTGTCTGTAGGTAACAATAAAAATTACCCAAAGTAACACCACATACCAGATAAAGTCTTCATGGAACAACATGCCACAGGAACAGACCTATTATATTTTTTCTGGTACGTATTCTGGTATCTGCTCTTTTGTGAATAACCGGTGGTTGGCCACAGCCAACGAATTCACTTAAAGCAGAACTGAAGCCCAAAAGCTTTTTATTAGTTTTGGATAGAGTAAGGGAGGGTTATAACCCCTGTAATCTATTGTATTCCCTCTCTGTCCCATTGGGGAGATTTCCCTTCACTTTCTGGATAACAGTCACCAGGACAAATAGTGTGGGTGAATCTCCCTAACAGGGATACAGACAGCAATAAAAACATGACTGGTTCGAATCCCTCCCCACTCTAGCCAAAACAAACAAAAAAGTTTTGGGCTTCAGTTGCACTTTAAGATCCTGTCAGTAATTACAGTAGCTGGATATAGGTTAAACAGTTACAATGTCAAATACTGACCAATTTTTCTTAACGTTTTCTAATAAACTGTAGCTTTATTTTCAGTTTTTATTGTTCTATTTAACTGAAATAGTACTGTATTTTTCCTATGGAAATATTACCTGAATAGAACTGTATATATGAAGCTTCCAGTTCAGCACACCCTCGTTCTTCATATACTGTACAGAGCATAAAGCATTTGGTGCTGCTTTCAAGTGGTATTTTATGTGCATGTTTGCTATTTTTTATTTTATATATTGTACAAGAGATTCTAATGTTGTGTAAAAATGTTTTTTTTTTTGGTCTACGTCCATCAAGTCAATAGTTATTTTTGTATTTTATTTTATTTGCCTTATATTGGTAAGAGTCAGTGACAATGTTCTGATAAAGTCCACAGATCATTCATATTTGTACTTGCCAGCAGTGGGACAAATCATAGTAACCTGTAAACTAGGTAACTATAGTTATTGTTACATCTACAAAGTACTTTCCATGATATGTACGCATTGTGTAAATATTTTATTCAAATGTATTTTTACTGGCAAGTGCCAAGTCACCAGACCAGATGTTGAGTGGTGTTAGATTGTCCGTTGGGCTGTTAAGGACTTTAAGGAACCCAGAAGACACATCTCCCTTGTTTGTATTCAGCAGTTTACTACATGCAGCAAAACGCAAAGCAGGCACCACTAGTGCAGTATGTTTATTGACCAAATGATTAAATAATAATAGTAAAAAGGTTCTACTCACTATTCCTAAAGGAAACCAGGCATATCAATAACTGCTCTGTGTTTTGTTGCATGTTGTCAAGATTCCAGTGACTCCCTGGTAGAGTGGGCAGCCCCATGGTTCCTAGCATTGGCAGAGTGCATACCAATCCCATTGGTTTGTGCCAGCCTGAATCTTTCCTATTTTCCTGAATTCAGCAGTTTACTGTCAGTACCCTTCTGTCATTACTTTAAAAAATATATAAAAAATTTGCAGGGCCAACTGTCAAGCCTGCTCATCATATAACTCACTGCGGCTGCAGTGGGACACTAGGGACAAGCAAATTAATTGAAAGTGGTAGTAAAGTCATTTAAAAAACAAAACAAAAACAGGAGCTTTAAGTCATAATGTGCTAGTATGCAGAGCGTATTAGCACATTATAGTAGACCGATCCCCTCCAGCAGCAGGGATGATCCTCTTCCGGGTTTAGCATCTTCGGCCTCATGATTGGCTGGCCGGCATGAAGCAACTTCTGCGCATGCGCTCGGCATCTCGGCTCTGAGCTGCATATGCCTCGCTCAGCAAACAGTAATAAAAAATCATTCCAAATGGTTAAAAAAAAAAAGCCTGTATGGCAGACTTGCACAGTCTCTTCTTTCATTAAAAGCCTACCAATCAACATTTAAAACAAACATTCCTCCCACTTTAACCATGATTTGGCAAACTACAAACATTTTCAATTCACCTATATTGAGACAGACTTGTCCAGTCTGCAGAGAATGATGTATGAATTGGCCACAACTGTCTGGACTTCTAAATTATATGATTCTCTGTACATCAGAGAGATCGATTTGCGATTCATTGACTGATTCTGCAAAGTTTCATCCGCAGATGAAATTTCAATGCAGATCTGTGTGATGTGCAGAGGATTACATGATTTAGGAACCAGAGAGTCATGATGAATAAAACATACAATTCTCTGAAGATCAGACAAGTCTTCATAAATGTATTTAAAGTAGATTTAAAGGCAAAATATATATATTTTTTTCTTTTTGGGTAGTGTAGGGAAAGATGAAAACCCCTAGCAGGTTTTTTTTTTTCATCTGTGTCCCATCAGGGGATATTTCCCCTTACTTCCTGTCTTGTAAAGACAACAAGAATTAAGAGGAAATGTATCCAATGTGAGGGAAACCCTGAGACAGTTACCAGAAAAAGTGTCCCCATTGGAAGATTTTCTCTCTATTTCTGTTCTGGTGGCAACTCAAAATTCTGGTTTCCACCTCCTTTTCTTTCCCAGTGATCGTGGTCACCTGGAAAAATATAGACAGTGAATCCCCCTAATAGAGACACAGACCGCAATAAAAATCTGACAGGTACTTAGCCTTACTGGTACAAACAGAAGCCACACTCCATAGATCTTCTAACTTGAATCCACACTTTATTACTGTGCAAATAACCGATACACCATCCAAACGCTCCCCTGAGCCTATCACACGTTTCACCTACCGAGGCTTAATCATAGATCTCTATGTACTCTCTTGGTACCAGTGTTACTACAGGTGAAAGCGCACCTTTTCTTTGTCACCACCCGAGAGACCTTCATTGTGGTAGTGTTTGTCGAGTGCTGTCGAGGTATTAAGCCTTCACCACAACTAAAATGAAAATGTTAAGCAAATGAAAAGTGGCTTGGCTCAATTCAAATTTTTTTTACATCGCTCTATTTGTTAGACTGTTCTGTTACATGCCCAAGTCAAGTCAGTGATACAATAGGAATTTCTTAATCAAAATAAATATTAAAGAAATGAAGGTGTGTCGTTACTATGTCATGCCCAAGGCTATTACCATAGTGGCCACCATGGCAGCTATAGGTGTATGTGAAGGGAACATTCAGGCTGACTTTCTAAAGAATTTGAGGATGTTCGTACAAAAAATGTGTGTGCATATTCATTTCAATTTTCCAATCATGTGCAGAAAAAATAAGTAGAAGAATTTTCTTTGCCATTAATTGGATAATTGAAGTGAATATTCCCTTGATTTATGTTGTGAACATCCTCAAATCATTTACTCAATTAGCATGATTGTGTGTGGTACGTAAAAAGCCATTTCCTAAAATACTATGTATACTAACAGCACCACCTGCCATCACCCTATTCAGAATAGTCTGTACAAAATAGATCACAGTGCTGCAACAGCGGCACTCACGAAAGATATTGTACACCCCAGGACGGGCAAGGAAATGGTTTTTAAGATGGGGATCTACTGGAAAATCTCACAGTGGAGTCCTTGAGAGTTGTAAAAAGTCAGCAGGTACTTCAGCCCCCAAGCATTCACCCAAAGCTTAGATCTTAAGGTGGCCATACATTTAGATTTTCATTCAGTTTTGTTTCTGCCACGAAGGCTTGTTCGATTATACCTAGAATTCCCCATCAAGCATAGTCAAATGTCGATTTTGGAAATCGTTCGTTAGCCATACTAACCAACCAATTTTTGCCAAACTACAGAAATATTAGTTTGACCTATGCAGAGAAACTATTTGTTTGACCTAGGCAGCTTTCGTTTTGCCCATGTGCTGTGCTTATGAGGAGATTTTGGCTAAACAAAAACCTCACTCCATCAGATTTCGTTCAGTCAGATAAAAAATAAATCCTGACCATACAAAAATTTTTCATATTAGCAAAAGCAAAATTCGGTGCTGTACCATCAACTGTTCGATCTACGTTTGAAAGATCGTTCTTGTACAATTTGTGAACGACAATCTAATAATGTATGGCCACCT